GCTCGTCCCCCAGCGGAACTGTGGGCATGAAGCACTCGGGGGGGCGGACCGCTGTATTCCGCGAGTCTTTCTGCGGGATTTGGCACCTTTGAAAATCTGTTCGAGTTTTAGAAGCGCCGAAGCTCTGCGGCCACGCGGTTGTTTTCAGGATAGGGGCGAGTGTTCGGGAATACCTCAATGAAGGCAATGTACCCCTGCGCGGGGTTGGTTTTTTGTTTCTCACTTGCGTCTTCAGTTCCTCACATGTGCTTTATTCCCTGACACGCGTTAATGTTTCTTTCTCTCCTTAGGTGTGCGTTCGCAGCTCTCTTTCTGGAAGTCAGTTGCTGGAAGTGTCGTTGCTCTTGCTGTCATTTTAATCTTAACGTGGGTGACATCAAATCAGTGCATTTGTTTTAAAAAACCTGGCTGTGGAAATTCAGTACTTCTCTTTCTTGTTACGCTGGCTCTTCAGTTCTGAGGGGTAAGAGGCTCCAGTGGTTTTCACCTCTCCCCCACCCTCATGGCTGCTGTTTCTGAGAGAGGAGGATCCAGAGAGGAAAGTGAAACAATACGGCTTATCCTTAGACAGTTGTTTCTGGCAGTGTTAAACTGACTTAATTTTTTTAATTTTCTGCAGGATTTCATTGTGCTGCAGCATGGCAAAACGGCAAAGCCGTAAGCAGAGTTAGGGACGCAGAACTGCAGAACTCACTTCTTGACTTGACTTGGCTCTGGCCTGTAGAGTTTTTTTTACAGCTGAGTATATTGAACCAGAACCTGGTTAGGGTCAAATTTTAGATGCCCCAAAGTAGATAACTAGTGCCTCTGTTTGCACTCTTTGTCAAAGGTGGCCTTCTGCCCTGACGTTCTCACCTGTGGTGTCTCCGGCGTGGCTGGAGGTTGTGCATGCCAGAGTCTGTTTGCTGGCACGTGCCCAGTGTGTGAGCCTGTAATCAGGGCTTGCTGGACGCACCGTAGCTGGTATAACTGGAAAAAAACCCAAGACTGAGCACAGTCCTTCAGCTGTATTTTGTTCACCCATCTCCTGCTTAATTCAATGCAAGTCGTAGATACTTTTAAGCTGGAGGAAGCAGGTCCAGAATTTGTAAATGTGTACACAACTGTATTTTAAATACATAACACATAATGATGAGTAAGTGACGTTCTCTTCATTTCTTCATTTGAACAAAAGAGCCACCTAAATTACCACAGCTGGATCCATGCCCTGATGACTGGCTGTACTACAAGAAGAAGTGTTACTATCATTCAGGAGGCAGGTTAGATTGGAAGTCCAGCCAGGAGTCCTGCTCTGGCTACAGAGCTTCCCTTGCAGTGATTGCCAACCACCAAAAGCTGGTAAGGTCTCCAGCGCCTTGAATTGGGTGTTATGTCTGCCGCCCTAACAGCTTCTGTAACTCCATCACTTGTTCCCTTGTGTAGCTTGAAACCCAGCGTGCTGTGTGGCCAACTCGTTTGCTGCGAGTCGGTACAGCCTACAGACTTTTGCAGTGCAACATGGCCCGTTCAATAAAATCCGCTGTAGAAATTCTGTTTTTACCTTAGAGGGTATTTCAGAAATTTAGAAGGCAAACTATGTATAAATTAAGAGTAAAGTCTGAAAGAATATAAAAATGGAGCCATGACTCGTAATAATTAATAAAGAAGGCACGGTTGGTTTTTTTTTTTTTGAACTGGCAATTTATGTGTGCGTTTTAAGTTAGGCAATTTATCTTGTCCTCTCCCCTCACACCCTCTTGACATTCATTCCCTCTCCAGGGTACCCAGGAGTACAGTCAACAGCAATTCCCATGCTAACTAATAAATCCAAAGCTTGTGGAAGTTCACTTGCCGTATTATAACACTTCTCTTATTCTTGAGAAAGCACATAAATTTCAACTTAGCATCACTGGGCTGGCAAAGAGGAAAATTAAAAACACAGTTTGGTTCCATGTTGTTTTTAAGCTAAGTCTTTGAGCGTTAAGCTTAAGTCATGCTGTTTATTTCACAGCACAGGAATTAGTTCATGGTGGTTTCCATAGGTATCAGAATCACAGAATGTTTTGGGTTGGAAGGGACCCCTAGAGGTCATCTAGTCCAACCCCCCTGCAGTGAACAGGGACACCGCTAACTAGATCAGGTTGCTCAGAGCCCCCTCCAGCCTGGCCTTGAATGTTTCCAGGCATGGGGCCTCCACTACCTCTCTGGGCAACCTGTTCCAGTGTTTTACCACCCTCATTGTAAAGAATTTCTTCTTTATATCTAGTCTAAACCTACCCTGGTTTAGTTTAAAACCATTATCCCTTGTCCTGATACAGCTGGCCCTACTAAAAAGATTTTCCCCATCTTTCCTATAGGCCCCCTTTAGGTACTGAAAGGCCATCATGAGGTCTCCCCGCAGCCTTCTCTTCTCCAGGCTGAACAAGCCCAACTCCCTCAGCCTGTCCTCATGGGAGAGGTGCTCCAGCTCTTGGATCATTTTTGTGGCCCTCCTCTGGACCCGCTCCAACAGTTCCATGTCCTTCTTG